GTCTGACGGTCACGACTTCATTTCGTACGTGAATTTTTCATTTTTTTTTTTACAAATCCAAATCACTTGAAATTTGGAGTGTCTATTCTTCAAAAAAAGAAGAATATAAAAAAAATAATTTGCAAAATATAAATTGACCAAAATACCTCTTAAAAATTTCGCTGGTATTTATATTTTGTGAATTATTATTTTTTATATTTTTATTAGGTGTGCCTTGATGAGAATAATGAACGTTTAAAATTTCAAGTGATTTGGATTTGTAGAAAAAAAATGAAAATTCAAATACGAAATGAGATTGTAACCGTCAGATCAACCCTGATTGAATCTGGACCATTGGCTGACACTGTAGCAGTCAGCCTGTGGGTTGACAGAATCCACTCCCATATATATATATATATATATATATATATCTTAGGGAGGTCTACATTTGAGGCCATTTTTCTACTTAAGCAATGGATTTAGATTTTCAGGGAGAAGGGAAAAGACCTCCGCATGGTCTTCATCGATTTTGAGCACGCTTATGATAGGATACCTAGAGATTTAATTAGGTGGATGTTGAAAAAAAATGGAATTTCCTGATGCTATATTGACATGGTAAGAGATATGTATTAGGGAGCGCTAACTAGTATGCAGATAATTAGTGGAGAGACAAGTGAGAATTTAGTGGCAATATGCTTACATCAGGGATCAGCGTTGAGCTCGTATATCTTTGTTTTAGTTATGAACGAGCTAACTAGGCACCTATAAGATGAGGTACCGTAGTATATGTTTTTTGCAGATGATATAGTTTTGATCGATGAGACTAGAAGTGGTGTCAACGCAATTTAGAATTTTGGAAGGATGCTTTAGAATCTAAAAGTTTTAAAATTAGCTGAACTAAGGCAAAATATATGAAATGGAAGGTTAATAATAATAGGAGTACAAACAAGGAAGTAAGTAAGATTGATATCCCAGAAATTCGTAAAAGAGAGTATTTATGATAACTTAGGTAAATAATCTAGGAAAATGGAGAGATTAAGGAAGATGACGCACATAAAATTAAAGCTGGGTAGGCAAAGTAGAGATGTGCAGCTGGAGTTTTATGTGATCCCTACATACCAATGAAGTTGAAGAAGAAGTTCTATAGGATAGCTGTGGGACCAGCTTTGCTTTTTAGGGCGGAATTTTAGGCGTTCAAGAAACAACATACTCATAGATGAGTGCAGTTGTGATGAGGATGTTGAGATGGATGAGTGGAAAGACTAGAGAGGATAGAATTCAAAATGAATATATTCGAGGGAAATTAACTTCAATAGGTGATAAAATGAGGTAAAATAGACTTAGGTGTGCGGGCCATGTACAACATAGACCGAATGCAACACTGGTTAGGAGGGGTTATTTGGTTCAAGTAGAAAGCTCTAAGAGGGCAAGAGGAATGCCCAAATTGACATGGATGGCAGTAGTGAGAAAAGATATGGGGACTTATGGTCTTATTGAGAGTATGGCCATTTGCTATACTAGAATGGCGGAATAAGATTTGTGTAGCCGACCCTAAATAGTTGGGATCAGTATTCGTAAAACCGGCCGATCTAACTGTTAACCGGCCGGTTAGATCGGAACCGGCCAGTGGCCGGTTTCGGGTTTGGTGATTAACTAGTTTTTTAAACTTTAAATAGAATAGTACTTCAAATTTATATCAAATACATGAGAATGGTGTATTGGTTAGTTTTGACGATTAGTTTTTACTTGAATCAGGGTTCGAATTCCGCCTCCAACGTTCTTTTTTAATGAAGTCCTTTACCCACTAACCAAATATGCCATTCAGCGTTCTTTTTTAATGAAGTCCTTTACACACTAACCAATATGCCATTTACTACTTAGTTGATAAAAACAAGGGCCTATATTATATATAACATCATTTTTTCTTCATTTTCTTTAAAAAAAAGATCAGTTTCTTAAAAAAAAAAAAGATCATTTTCTTTTTATACTACTAGACCCACTAACCAATATGGCATTTACTACTTAGTTGATAAAAATAAGGGCCTATCTTATATATAACATAATTTTTTCTTGATTTTTTTAAAAAATGTCATTTTCTTTAAAAAAAAGATCATTTTCTTTTAAAAAAAGAGCTGGTCAATTCGATTTTCTAACACTATTTTAATATTCTTTACGTTATGGTAAAGATTAAAAAAAAAATTTGGTCATTGATACTCACTTTTATATTTTCCTATCTTTTTCTAGAAAATTTAAAAATACCCTGGGCACAAATCGACTTGTTAAACATCCATTTTTTCATTAATTTTTAACTTCATTTGAGTGTGTTTTGTTTTAATCACGTTCTTTATATGTTTTTCATATTTTAGTGGATTTTTTTGTATCTTTTTCATTGTTTTAACACTTTTTTTTATCGTTCGGGACTTGCCTGGTTAGAACGGTTGAATCGGCCTGTTTACCGGTTAGGCCCGTTAAATTGCTTCTAGGCCCATGTCCGGTTAACCGTTCCGGTTTGATTTTGCGAACACTGGTTGGGATAAGGCTTTTTGATGATGATGATTTGATAAGCAAATAAAAATTTATTTTGTGCAATAAAATTATAAATTATTGATTTTTCTAGATCCAAACATTCAAATATATTTTGGTGTATCTAACAATAAAATGAGACAATATACACAGATAATCTATTAGCTTCTATTCCATAATTTTGTCAATAAAGAAAATAGTGATGAATGTTTTGGCTAACTTGAATATTTATAATTCAAGTTTCTTTCTCTACGAATTACTCTTGATTTTTATAGTCACTACATGGTTCGTGGTTAGTGGCTCACAAATCTTATCTTGAAGAATGAAAAATAAATGGAAAAGAGAAGTATCGCATGTTGCATGTTCAACTTAAATATATAAACTCTGTTTGTTGAATTTATCATTGACTACTAGCTTAATCTTGGGAATTTTTACATATACATATGATAGATTTGTCATATTTAACATAAATATGTAAAATTTGGAAATATTTGTTTAAGAAGAGACAAAAAAATGTTGCTTAGAGATTCTGTTATGTTAACGCTTTCTTAATTTTCTAGTTTATTATATTGTCCAAAACAATGCTTTCTGTTGTTAACTTCTATATACAATGGACCTATCAAGATTTAATCATTGAAGCTTTAATGGAACAATGGTGGACCTTACCGATTTATCTCATGCGATTGAAGGATCAATTCGTGGTAGAGCTATTTTTTTTTCGTAGGTGGCACAATAGCCGAAAGTTGTTGGAAACGATTCTGAATCCAAATCATTTTAGAAATCGAAATTGCAGAATCGTGGCCGGCTAAAGATTCCTATCTTTGGAATTGACGTTCGTACAAGAGGAATCATGTTAGACGAAATTCCTATCGATCAAGATTCGACCAAAATGGAATCAAGATCCTTATATAGATGGAATTGAGATTTCTATCTCTACAGAATCGAGTTTCCAACCTATTTGGAATCGTCCAATATGAAGTGAAAATATGGGGTAGTTAAATCTTAATACTCAAAGGACAAAGTTCTCTTGAATTTAATGCTTCAATGCCCTCGTTATACTTAGACATTAGAATCATGCATGTTGAGTATCTCTTAACTCTAAACATTTGCATTTGAAAGTTGATTCGAGTTACAAATACAAATACGTCAACATTGCATTCATCAGATTACTATTTGGAGCACCTGTAAATCATGGGAAATAATGTCCTCCAATTGGGTTTACAAATGACTGAAATCAGAATTATAAATATTTAAGGTGAGATTGCATGTACAACGAATCTCAGACTTGTGCACCGATAAACAACAATTTTGATTTCGTGGAATTGAGATTCCGGAATAGTTCTAATCGAGACTCTATGGAGGTCTAAGCAAGATTTCATGTTGATTAAATCGCAGTTCCCTTCACCTACAAATTGAGGAAATGTGGAATCAAGATTCAATAAATGTTGGAATTGAGATTCGAAAAAGTTTGGACCAAGATTCCATAAATAATGGGATCGAGATTTTGACAAGGCTTGAAATGAGATTCCTAAACTAAGGAATTGAGATTCCTGAGTTCCATGAAACAGTTTTTGTGAAGATTCCTTAATTGGAATCGCCGAATCGGGGTTTCAAATTGGAGTTGCGGCCTCAACAGAGAGATTCTGGTAACTATGATCTAGCCTGATTCATACAGATGAAGTGTCTATCCTGTATTAGGAACTGTTGAGACGCAACACCAAGCCAAATGCAAGGTGTCTAGGTAACACTGACTCTGAACAAAAATGAACCGGTTTGGGTACCTAGTAAGGATATCTTAAACCAAGTACAAATGCATGCTGAGAATATTTTTTTTCATCATTTTTTATTTTCAGTTTATATTTCCTTGAATTTCTTTTTTTATTATGTAATAGTTATGAAGGGTATGTAGCCCCCCATGTAAAATCACATGAACTACTTCCTCCTAAATGTTACTTAAATTTCGTTATGAAGTTCTCACTTAAATTTGTTCTTCTACCAGATAAAACGAGAAATTTCTACCATGAAGTTGATCAAGCATCCAAATGTTGTTCAACTCTTTGAGGTATAGCTCCTATTCCATTCCATCAATTGAGAAATCATTTTGTATATCTTAGCTTTGTGTTGAAGTTAACTGCCAAGGCTGTTTATTTCTTATCGCATACATAATGGGGGCTAGTATGCATTGCTTGTCAACCATAAGGAGAATATAGTCCACTTGTGGGTTTTTTATATTATACTTAATTTCATCATCATCATCAAAGCCTTTTTGCAACTAATTGGGGTCAGCTACACGAATCCTGGTCCGTTATTAAGGGCTATACTCTAAGTGAGGCCATGAGTCCCCATATGGCAATGCCAGAGCATAAGTAGATATCGGAGATTCCGGATTCATGGGAAGTTTTGGCAAAGTTTTGCGTTGGCTGCCTACTTGACTCAACTTACCCCTTGTAGCCCTAAGCTTGGGACGGGTCAAGGGAAAGTTTAAGGTCCTCACCTTCTTAGACCAAGAGCAATTTAATACACGGTTATTCTGTGTTCTTTTTTAAATATCAATTCACCCATTATATGATCTTTGAAAGAAAAAAGAATAATCATGTATTGCTCTATATGAGCAACCATAGATCTAGGAGAAAAACTCAATTTTGAGATAAAAAACTAAAATTTAAAAGAAATAACTAGATCTAGAGATATAAAAGATGATATCGTTTTTTTTTGAGAATAGGTTAAATTTATAAAAGAGGATATCACGAGGTCTAATAATAAAAACGTTACAAATATGATGGGATCTGAAGAGAAAACCAAAGAAACCATAGGACTTATTGAGGAAATAAAAAGACAAATTCCACAGGAAGAGTAGAAACCCGAATTACTAGCGACCAACATCAAATCCATCACTTGTGCAAGCAAATGAATCAAGGAATCCCAAAAAAATAAAAAATAAAAGGATAAAAAAAATCAAACAGAAGGTATCCAAAATAATAAAGAAATAAATAAATATAAAAAACTGAACTTCACAGTAAACCCAACATTTAAATGAAGGATTAGATTTGAAGAGAGAAGAATCAAACTATGAAAGAGACTATGAGATCTAAAGACCCTCTAGAGAAACCATGTATCTAAGAAGAACTCAATTTTGTGATAAAACAAAACTAAATTTTAAAAGAAACCATTGGATTTAGAAATAAAAGGAGGACACCATGAGATCTAACAACAAAAAATAATTGTACTTTTAAAGAAACGATGAGATCTGAAGACAAAACCAGAGAAACCACAGGACTCATTGAGGTGAAAAAAAAAGAAGGCAAATTCTACAAGAAGACTAGAAACCCGAATCATTAGCAACCCAACCTCAGAACCATCAGTGGTGCAAGCAAATCAAACAAGGAATCCAAATTTTCAACGAAGGATTAGATTTGAAGTAAGAAGAAACTTTGGAGCAAACCCAACATTTATATGAAGAATTAGATTTAAAGAGAGAAGAATCAAACTATGAAAGAGACCGTAAGATCTAAGGGCCCTCTAGAGTAACCATGGATCTAGTGAGAAAAACTCAATTTCGAGATTAAAAAACACTAAATTTTAAAAGAAACCAAAAGATCTTGAGAAAAAAGAAGACACAATGAGATCTAACAACAACAACAACAAAAAATTATACGTTTAAAGAAACGACGGGGTCTGAAAGCAAAACCATAGAAACTGCAGTACTTATTGAGAAAAAACAACAACAAATTCTACAAGACTAGCAACCCGGATTATTAGCGACCCAACCTCAGAACCATCACTCGTGCAAGCAAATCAATCAAGGAATCCAAAAAGAATAAAAATAAGTCAAACAAGGGAATCCAAAAAAAATAGAAGATTAAATATGAAAAACTGAATCAGGCTTGGGTCAAGATGGTAGCAGCTAGGTTTTCATAGCACTCCATGCCAAGTTCCATTCCTATGTAACCTTGTCAAAAAAATAAAATAAAATAAAAAATAAAGAACTGAACTTTGATAAGATCTAAATAGAGAAATCACAAAAACAATAGATTTGGCTGGTACTGGTTCTAAAGATCAGAAAGAAGTAGGAGGAAAGAACTAGAAGGAAAAATAACAGGATACAATCATAGAACAGAGAGAATAAAATAAGAAATAAACAAGATTTTGCCCAAACTTGCTCAGATGCATTCCTGGTATAACAAGATCAAAGAAGCATGGAAAGAGATTAAGAAAAATATATATACAAGAAAAATTGAGAATGAGTGACAAAAAGAATATGCGATGAGATTGGTAAACTGACCCAGCTTGAGATCCATTCATCCCACAATCTGATGTCTCATAAAAAAAGTAAAGAAAGAAAAATATGGAACTGTGTACGGGTACATTCAACTTCTAAACAGTTTATTGTTTATGTCTTTTACAGGTCATGGCAAGCAAAACAAAGATATACATTGTGATTGAATTCGTTGAAGGAGGGGAACTTTTTGACAAAATAGTAATATTTCTGTTCTTATGTTCTATATGTTTTAATGTTTCCTTAAATTGGTTTACATGCAAAGATGTGGAATATATATGAATTTTCAAAAAGATATGGAGTATATAGTGAATGATTTTCTTATCTCCTTTTAATTAGGCAAACCATGGGAGACTTAAGGAAGATGAAGCAAGGAGATACTTTCAGCAGCTTATCAATGCTGTGGATTACTGCCATAGCAGAGGGGTGTACCATAGAGATTTGAAAGTAAGACCTAATTCTGAAAGCCATATCTCAATTTAATTCCATAAGTCGCATGAACAATTGGATCTCGTGTGCAAGTTTTGCAGCCTTAATTTCTTGTCATGAATTTCTGATGGGCTATCTTGCAGCCTGAGAATCTACTTCTTGATTCATTTGGGGTTCTTAAAGTTTCAGACTTTGGATTGAGTGCATTATCTCAGCAAGTCCGGGTAAGTAATCATTTGTATTTATGGATTCATTTCAAGTTCATTTTTCCTTTTATAATGTTATTTTGGAATCCGTTTATGATAGTTTTTAGGAGTGAATTATAATTGGTAATGATTTTATGCTTCATAGCATAATGCAGGCAATGACATAACCATCAGCCTAAGTTATTGGCAATTGAAGCAACCATAGTATTGTGATTTTAGTTTTCCTTTTTTTCTGCTATCTGATTTCTGCTGTGTGTTGTACCTCTGCATGTGCGCATGCAAGCGTGTTTTGTGTGTGTGAAACTTTTTGAATCTCTTATCCAACCAAAATTTACCTCTATACGGACAGGTAACACAACCTTGCTTAGCATTATCTTGTCATAGAAGTTCTCAATATCAAACGATATAGATTACGTGGGATTTACCTACAAACATGCGTGCCTGCATATGTGTATATGCATTCATCCATTATGAATATCTATTTCTGTGTATACATGTTAAAGACAAAAGAAACCATTCTAAAGTTTAATTTAGAGACAAGTTTTCAAGCCTCTAAACCATTTATTTAGAGTCGAATTTTGAGCTCTAAATTGAAAAGATTGGGATGCCATAAGTCTCATTTAATAGTATAAGACTTTTTATGGGATTCTGGGTAGTTTATGCAGATATAGGATGGCAGGAAGGAAGCAAAGCTGTTGATATAAACAATTCATTCCGCAAAAAAAGATTCCTCTAAAGCAATTCAAAGAAAATGTGAAAACGGTAGGCCATAAGAGAAATTAGAGTAGGATTCTTATATGCTGCCATTAGATATGATTAAGCTCAACACGCAACCCATGCAATGATTAAGCTCAACACGCAACCCATGCAATGCATGAGGATCAAACTCAATTAAATGCAGGAGGATCAAATTAGTGAGAGAGCATGCTCAACAAAAATCATGTAGGAAAGTTGCATTTGTTAGCCAAGACAACATAGTTGGTCAAGGGATATCCATGGTGCTTGTTTAGCTTGGGAAAGTCATGAACAGAAATGCCTTTTTTTTTAATTATTTGAAGATTATTTCAAGTATGGCAGATAATTATTTGAAGATTATTTCAAGTATGGCAGAGAGAGTCACGTATTTTAAATCTTTCTGGAGCACAGGTTACTGGTTTTTGGGAAATATATACTTTTGAGAATAATGAGATGAAATTTGGGAAATATACCTTTTGAGAATAATGAGATGAAATTTGGGAAATATATCCTTTTGAGAATAATGAGATGAAAAGGGGGAAGAATATGTGGTCATCGCAATATATCCCTTCTCTCTCATCACTCTACTAAAAAGAATGCATGGAAGGTGGAAAGGTGATTGCTGCGACATCTATTCCATTACAGCATATTGCTTTTCCTTCAACATGGATTAGCAACAACCAATCAAGCTCTCTCTTATTTATGTATGTGAAAATTTTAACAGCTACAGGCCTAAACTATTCCTGATTTTTCTACCAGTGTCACAAGAAACAATATAAGCAATTTAGTCCCCTCTTTGTTGCGAAAAAGAAAAGAAAGATATGAAAATATTCCCTATGTAAAGTTTGGTTCTTTGCACTAAGAAGAATTATTTGAAGCCATAGTCAAATGGCCATCCAAAATACATTTCACTATACCTTCAAAATTTAAAGGGCAACTGGTTAAAAACTCGGTGACTGATTGATCAGCAATGCTTCATGGCATATTATAAAACTTTGAACTTGCAATACCTGTTACAGTGATGAATTTACAACATCTTCATGAGCAAGTTGAGGGCCTTCCTTGGTTTTCATGCATAAGGTTCTTATGTAATGCCTATCGATTTCTCCGTTTAATCTTGGTTTTGATTCTGCAGGTTTAGGTTCACAAACGTAAGCAAGTTAGATTAGATTATCTTTGTGTCAATTGGGAAGATAACAAACACTCTCCATTGCCTATTTTGCATGATGAGTGTGTACATGAGAAAACCATATTAATTAATAGTTTTTGGATCTTCTTTCAGGAGGATGGGTTGCTACATACTGCATGTGGAACCCCAAATTATGTTGCTCCTGAGGTAAAACAATCGTGCTCATGAGCATGTGAATATAAGTTCCAATGTACAGTTACATACAAATTAAGATGGGACCTATCAACTATGGGACAAAAATTCAAAACTGGAACTTGTGCTCTGTAGGTGTTGAATGATAAAGGTTATGATGGCACAACAGCTGATATTTGGTCTTGTGGTGTTATTCTTTTTGTGCTTATGGCTGGATACTTGCCATTTGATGAGCCGAACCTCATGACATTGTACAGAAAAGTGAGTACTCCAAGTATATTATTTCATTCTGTGTCCTTTCTGTGTACTAATACTGATGCAGATTATAGTTTATGTGAACTTCAGATATACAAGGCAGAGTTCACATGCCCTTCGTGGTTTTCTTCGAGTGCTAAGAACTTGATTAAATGTATTCTTGACCCTAATCCTGCAACTGTAAGTGTTATTAATACTGTATATTTTCTAGTTATGGTGCATGCTCTTGAGAACTGTGAAAGTAAGATTGAATACCATTCTGCTCCTTGAATGTTTTTAATATGCTTTTTTACTTAGTAGCTTCCAAGAGGTGCATTGCACAAATCTCTTGCAATTGGGCATAAAACCAGAAACAACAAAAGCAGAATTTTAGAAAAATAAAATATAATGAAATAAATTTAAAGAAAACTGATAAAAGGGAAATAGCAAAAATGAAAACAATAAAGAAGAAAAAATCTTGAAAATTTGGAGAAGAGCAAAAGGTTGTACCTAGCAAGGAAGGGGGAAAACAAATAAATCACTGACGTGGATGGAGAAAGTCAATGCCTTCCCTCGAGTTTATTGAAAGGATGCAGGCAGCAACTAGGTGGGTAGGGATTCTAGGTAGCAAACTTGGAGTCCTCAAAGAGTTCTAGACGGCCACGAATAGAAAAAACTAAAAGAAAATGTATCTTGTATTTAACATATAAAAAAAAAATGTATGTTGTACTTAATAAAATGTATTAATACTATTTGTACATGCATACATAAGTTATACACTGAAGTTAGTGCAGTTATGAATATTGATTGTGCTATTAATGATATTTTAGTTGACATAATATATTAGTGTATGTTGTAAGTACAACATCGATACATTTTTTTTGTGTCTATGAACATTGCATACACCATATACCATACACCATACACCATCAAATTGCCCTGTTGGAATTGTCAACCGCAATTTCACAAATTCTAAGCTCCCATGAAGTTTCCTTGAACATTGAACCCAAAGTTTTGTTTCAAATCCCTTTTTCCGTTGCAATAAATTTCGTCAAATCAGGAAAAACCTTTTTATAAGGATGTCTATTCTAAGTTCTCATCCAGAATTGGGTGAGATAATATTCACAACCTCCAAACCCCCCTAGGCCATAAATAAAAAAAAAAAGAGAAAAAGAAAAGAGAAAGATAAAGGAGCATTTCGAATCCCTATTCCCCATTAGGTCATAAAGGGCCCTAGACGAGAGTGTAGACATCCTGGGTGCCATTCACCATTCATGTGCCCACTTTGGAGGGCCCATGGAGGCAATTTCATCTATGTAGTCGCTGTGGACCATGGCAGGGTGGAATACTGCCCCTTGCCCTTTAAGTAACCACAATTTAACAGCCATGTTTGAAAATGCAAAGGCAGCCGCCAGGGAAAGATAGAGGGGGCCAACGGGCAAGGCTTGGCCATGGCACTAGGTGCCCACCTAGGCGGGCTCCTAGAGTAACCTCACCCTAGGTGGCTGCCTAAGAGGGCCTTGGCCTGCCTAGGTGGACCGCCTTGGATCCCAGGCAGGTGCCTTTCTGAAAACCGTTTAACATACTGATGCCGTGAACCATTTACTTCCAGCTGACAATATATCGGTATCATGTTGTGGTTGAATGAATCTTCAAAGTAACTGCAGCTTGGTTTTCCCATCCTTTGTTACCTTTTACATTAACTTTTGAAGACACTCTCCATTGCTCGACTTCCCTTTGGCTTACTCTAATTTGATTATTATATAGTGAATCGTGGTATTGATTTATTGTGTCCAATTTCTTGTTATATAAAAACCACAGTCCAAACAAAATTCATGCCTTCAGACGTGTTGCAATTGAATAGTTCAAACTTCTAAGTCCTTTATTTAATAACGCAAGACTCATTGAGATCAGCTGTAAAATGCTGTTGGAGTTTTAATATTTGAGTTCATGTTCTGGAGATGTATTTGCTGGTAAAGATTTAGTGATAAAAGGTACACCATGACATCAGGTGTAAAAGCTTACTAATAAAAATAATTGAACAAGATGTTCATATAATGGGGAACAATTTGATAATCTACATTTTGTTTGAATTGCAGCGCATAACAATTCCTGAGATTTTAGAGAATGAATGGTTTCGCAAGGACTATAGGGCACCAGATTTTGAGCAAGGAGAAGGAGTAACCCTTGATGATGTTGATGCTGTTTTTAATGGCTCAAAGGTAAGTATCCAAGTCACCTTATCCAAGGTTTGCATTTAAGGAAATCACCGTCAAGATATAATACCCAATATAGAATTAACCAAAAAAAAGAAAGGCTTAAATACAGATAATCCGGTACTGATCTCTCTCTCTTCCTCCTGTCCCCACAAAAGAGGAAAAACTGTCGGAACATATGATCAATGTTCCATTGTGCATGCTCACATGTTGTTCTCTTAAATTGGTGCCTTTCTGGAAACTAAAAGATAAGCAAAGTACAGGTTAAAGAGAGCAAGAAAAGCAAAATATTGGAATTAATTGGGAGTCATCTGAAAATCTAAAAAAAAAGACAATATTGGGTGAAGGTTTTCACATGTGAGAAGTGTCATGATTTGACAGGTTTGCCTCTAAATCATGGACATGACTTCGATACATATTTTTGGAGAGATGGACCTGATTGTTGGTCAATTATGAAATTTTATGTACCTCTTCTCTCCTTGTTTTTAGAGGATAAGAAATAATGTCTTGTATTCTCATATGGTTGAATTCTTGGGTTTCCAAGACTGAAATTCAACTTCATCATCAAATTTATCTTTGACAAGTACCTGCCAAACAAAGTATAGGGTTATAAATGATCATTGATTTTAGTGGTGACTTAGTCCATCCTAACTGCTACAACCGTTTTAACTACAAATTAGTTGAACTACAAAGTACTTGAACTATATGCTATGAAGCAGTATTATCCTTGACAGATTTGCAGTTCTTTATTTATCCTCTAAAGCACTTCAATTTCTATGTAGGAATATCTTGTGACAGAGAAGAAAGAGAAACAACCAGAATCTATGAATGCATTTGAGCTTATTTCCAGATCACAGGGGTTTAATCTCGGGAACCTGTTTGAAAAACAAATGGTATGTTTCTTAAATGAGGTTCAAAATATTTAATTTTCATGTGTTGCCTAACGTAGTTTCCTATTTTATAATGTGAGGCTAATTTATCTTTTTGACTGTAGTATGTTCTGTAATTTGTAGATTCATTATGTATGAATCATCATATTTCTTTAGGACAGATTATGGGCAAGTAGTTAATTCTTTCATAAAGTGCATAGCTATATAGTTGTCTATAATTCAACTAAGCAAAAACATTTTATGAAAGAGCCGATAGGATATTGTTTAGGATTCATACCTGGGAGGTTTCATTCTTTAAAATTCATGAAAGATAACCAGTCAGAGCATTCTTAATATGTTGTCTGTTTTTATTAAACTGAATGTAATAACCCTTGTGCAGTTCTAGAATATGCTATACCAATGCTGTAATTCCCATTACATGAGTTTGTTGATTATGTGTCTTTGATCTTCTAATGAGTTTTGAAGTGACAGGGACTTGTGAAGCGAGAGACACGGTTTACATCCCAACGCCCTGCAAATGAGATAGTCTCTAAGATTGAGGAAACTGCTAAACCTCTTGGTTTCAATGTACGCAAGCAAAATTATAAGGTACTGGTGTCTTGTTACTTTCCTCATAAGGATATGAGTTGTAAGCACAATTGCAAGGTGATAGAAACATTTTCCTTAGTGTTCAACTTGCCTGGTTGAGTGAATTTCAATCTTGGAACATTTAGACCAAAAATCCATTAGAGAGGGCATTTGATATGTTATACTTTCCTGTGATTTAGATGAAGTTGCAAGGTGACAAGACTGGAAGGAAGGGTCATTTGTCAGTGGCGACGGAGGTATAGAGATATATTGGTAGCATTTTATTTTAGTTTGTCTCGCTTTTCAAAGGAAAATGAAAGTCAGATGGGCATGGGATGCTTTAATTAAATCACATCTAGTTTGGGTGGAAAAAAGAAAGGCAAATATCTCTTCGGAATTCATGATTTCTCCTACTCTGTTCCTTTTTAAGTACTTTAAACTGGGGAGAACCCATACCTGATGTGCATTTTGTTTCCACCTTTAGGTATTTGAGGTTGCTCCTTCACTTTTCATGGTTGAGCTTCGTAAAACAGGAGGCGACACATTGGAGTTTCACAAGGTATGTCTGGTTGCTTTATAGCTTCTTTGGAAAAAAAGATATTTCATTATGATATAATGTTTCTAATTTGAATTGTCGCATGGTTATGTGAGATTATTGTTCCCACTAATTACAGTTTTACAAAAGTTTTTCGTCGGGGTTGAAAGATATTGTCTGGAAATCTGAGGCCAACACAGAAGAAACAAAGGAGGTGATCATCAATGCTGCAATTTTCCTGTTTGTAATATGAGTAATTTCAATGTGATAATCAGTTTCCTGGTAGCTTAAGATTTCTATTTAACATGGAAAATATATAAAACTAAGCATCCGAAGTAAATTTCCTCCAGGAGCAGGTTATAGGATGACGTTGTAGCTGAAGATGCCTTCACCAGGTGCATGATTGCAATTCCATTCTTGCGTGCTATTTATTTCCCTTTGCCCATCTTTCTATTGATCCTAAGAATAGGGACACCATGCAATGAACCCTTTTAAGATTTATTTGGTGGCAGAAGGCTTTGTTAAAATCTGCTTAAATGAGCAAGTATAGGATTGTCTGGGCAAGGAAAATTTGTTAATTTCTTACCAGATATATATCTTTTTTCGCCCCGCCTCTTTTGTTGAGCCGTTTATAAGGCACTCTATTTTGTGCAAAAAGGAAATAAATGTATCAATTCATTCCAAGTTTCATATTCGTTTCCCGTATTTGTAGTAAGGACTGCTCTTTTGCCATGGTGTCCGGAATATCGTATTTTGTGCCTCTATTAGGTAGTTTTCATGCTACAGCTGAACATACGCCCTATGTGCACAAACAGATATAAATGACAAACATGCGGTTTCATGAAAACTAAAACAGCTAAAATTATCATAAGGAAATGCTAATAGCAACATAATGGTATATTAAATTGGAATAATTCATTTATTAAATAAACAGAAAACAATATGAAGTACGATAAAAGGGTGAGGTTTGTATAGAGCTTAGGCTTTAAACAATCAAATTAGAGCCTACATTCAAGTAGTGTCGAGAAATGTGGTTTTCATACTGAAAATATTTGTGATAGCCTTGAAATATGGTTTCATGTTTATTTATAAAGTTTAAAGCTTCAAAAGTGTAGATCAATAGATTTATGAAAACTTGAAAATCATGAAAATTGATGGTCACAAAATGCGTTACAAAATATATTATATTCAAAACTTGAAATCCATTTTTTTCTCATGTCCATGTATGTATCTTGATATCGAGATGATCAATTTGAGTATATTTGGGCATCAAAACAATCTCTTCTAGTGAAATTTTGGAGGTAGGCTCAAATTTGATTGTTTAGAGCCTTGGCTCTATATAAAATTTTTTATATAAACTTTTCTCAAAATAAAATAAGAGATATGCAATTAAAAGTAGTAGGAAACAAGGATTAGAGAAAATTGATAAAAAACGAAAAATGACGAAAAAATTGAGCGGGTTAACATTTGAGAAAACCCTAAGAAACTTAGAATCGTAGAGAAAAGAAGCATGAGATATGCTTGAAGATGCCAATAACCCAAAGCTTCTAGAGACACAAGCATGATATCTTACTTTATTATCGTTGGATTTGTGTGCGGTGCTGGTTGGCTTGATTGTGTGAAAGTTATATTCAGAAGGAAAATGGTTTAATAGGGCTGCAATCCTATTAAAATAAGTAAATTTTCACTTAATAATTCATGGTAAATTGTAATTCAAGCATTAGAAAACTTTTACATTGATCATCTCAACTTGAACATTATGGATGTGAAAAAAAAAAAATGGATCTCAAACCTAAAAAATAGTTATATTTTAACAAATTATTGTCTATTTTTCCCTAAAAATAAGTGTTCAACGATAAACAACATTTGTACGCTTTTTTGAGTTTCAAAATTTATTATTGGTGTTGGAAATTGATTTTAGAACCATCATGGAGATTTCAGTTGACGAACGACGAGGATTTGAGGTGAGGCTTTATTTGGTTCGCATAAAGCCTAAGCCTTTTAGAAACTTCATCCTATTTAGAATTTGTCTAGAGACCGGTCCCCATGTTTACGGTTTGGCTAGAAAGTTAACTTCGTTGGTTCGTTGGTGTGCTTGGGAGCTCGGAGTGTCAACTCCTCTAAATGTATAGAATGAGATTTATTTATTTTTGATAAAAGGTCTCAATCATTTGTGTGTCAGCCAACTGATTCAAGTATGGCCTCCTAAAATCCGTTTTAGGTGTGGGTTTTAGATCTAAAATTTAACATCTTCATAATCTCTTTGAAGGACTATAAATTTTAAATATTGGAAATAGATGATATGCTTGTTTTTGGACTGTTTCTTGCCTATTTCTTTTATTTTTTAAAATAAATTATTTTATTTTTAAAAATGTTTTTTATTTTAGATTCATGATCTTAGTAATCAAAATTATCAACATATGAAATTTTAAATGAAAAATTCATCTCTAATATGAACCAAAAGTTAGATGAATTATTCAAGTGAATGCATTTAAACAAGAACTGACGAGAACCTTTTGCTCAATATCATCATCTCTTTCATTTTTCAATGACGTGACGTAACTGCACGTGTGTCTCTTACTCTACAAATGATGTACTTCTACCTAAACATTAAAAGGAAAAACAAGGAATAAAGTTTTTATAGAGCTGAAGTTCTAAACAATCAAATTGGAGCCCACCTCAAAAATTTTATTAGAAGAGGTTGTTTTGATGCCCAAATATCCTCAAATTAATCATCTCGACATCAAGATGTAGGGATAGGAGAAAAAAATGGATTTCAAGTTTGGAAATAGTGTATCTTGTAACACTTTTTTGGACCGTCAATGATTTTCAAGTTTTCATAGATCTGTGCGATCTACACTATTTTTGAAGCTTCAAATTTTATAATTAAAGATAAAAATATATTTTAAGGCTATCATAAAGATTTTCAATATTGAAACCATATTTCTTACAACTATTTGAAAGTGGGCCCTCAGCTCCATACAAATTGCACCCAAAAGAAAATATCCTTCTCCACGGGTTAGAAGTATGGCATCGAATTGTACAAACTCTCAAGTCCCAACCCCAAATGGTATAGCATACACATGATGATGCAGATGCTTGAAGGGTGCACAAACACGGTTTAATGATTCAGACTCGTATCATCTAATGGCTAAAAACACTTTTATATTTTTTTATTGAGTAATAATCCTATGAGACCCTCCCACACCCATGTGTATAGAACCTCAAAGGATCACCGTTAAATTTGGCACACATCTTTAGAAAAGTTATCACATGGGTGTGGGACTTGACTTTTTTAGAGATTTGTGCCAAATTTAATGGCGATCCTATGGAGTCCTACACATATGGGTGTAGGAGGTTCTCACAATGTCATTTCCCTTTTTTATTTATTTAAAATTTCAAGAATAGATATATTTTTATGTAGTGCATAAAATAAAAACAATAAAATGCTATTTTGAAGAAAAAGAGTATATACACTATTTACTCTGAGCCATTGAAAGAGTGCTTCTGTACCCTTCCACCATCCAAATGATGTGGACATGATAGTATATACACTCTCTTTTGAAATGAATGAATTATGAGTGGAGAATATTTAAATAAGGTTGCAACATTATATTATAGAGTAAGGTGCACTTCGAAAATCTAGTAGAAAAGAGTATTATGAAGTTAGAAAACCTTCGATTATTTCGATATCCATATGTATGGAAATAAAGAAAAAAAAAAAATTCAAGTTCTAAATATCTTGTAACAAATTATTTAGACTGCTTATTTTTAAAACTTTCGAGTGTCCATATATTTGCTCGATGTGCACTGTTTCGAGAGTTTTAAATTCCATTAGGGTTAAATATAAATATTCAAGCCTTTGTAAGGTTTGTGACAATGGAATCACATCTTTTTGCAAACTTTAGAAAAGTGTCTTGTATGCTATAACGAGTATAAGGTGGGTTGCTTCAGATGACCTCATGTGACAGTAATAGAAACTTTATTGATCCTTGTGCTTTGCTACAGATGGCTTCCTGTGATAATAAATAAACGTATACCTGTTCTGTGGACTGTACCCTAGCCTACCGAAAAATAGACACTTTATGACTGTATGTTTTTGAATCATTGATTTCAAGCTCAAAATTGCTCAGATTTGACAACCATCAAAAAGGAAGGTCCATATTTTGAACCTGGATCCAATTTTAATTAGGGTGCGGTTTCTATAAGGTTGCAATTTTGATCAATCCAATTAAGGTGTACCTTTAAATTTTATTATAACATGTACTTTTGGGGTCAAAAGTTTTAGGATTATCTAAAAATCTATTTTTATATCTAATTATAAAATTTTAAACTTAAAAAATGATTAAAATCAAGTAGATATATAAACATATGAAAATATTGAAAATGGATGTCTAGATAATGTGTTGCAAGATGCACTATTTTTGGGACTCAAAAGCTTTTTTTTCTTTTCATATTCATACATCTTGATGTTGAGATGTTCAATTAGAGGGTTTTTCAACATTAAAACAACCTTTTCCTATGGATTTTAAAGGCTCATATTTAATTGTACATTTTAAGGTTGCAACCCTATATAAACTTTTTCCCTTTAATTAAGGCATTTTTTAGTTCCAAATAATTTTTTTTAAGTTTAGTTATAAAGTGAGATATCAAACAACTTTAGAGTTTTTTGGAGTCACGTTTGGCTGGTCGGAATAATCTTTTCCTATTTTAAATTGCTTTTATAAGTCATTTTGGCAATAGAGCAGTTTTCAAGACTGAACTATCTATCCCTAGATCATTCATGTGCTTTTCTGTCGGAGCAATATTTCAAGCGAGCTTTTTGCTTTTTAATGCTTGCTTTTCTCGTGCATTTCATTGTTGTGTTTCATGGTTGTCATTCAACTCATCACCACTAACCCTTTTATCAGGCGAGGTATTGAGTGGAGGAAAAAAATCGACCTCCTCTTCTGACCAACCATAGGCAACATCCCCGAAGGACAGCACCAGAGATTCTGAGGGAGGGAAGATCACAAAATTCTCTTCCTCTTCAACCACAACAATTGGGAGTCCCTATTCCTCTGGAGGAATATGAGGGGCACCTTCCCTATCCTTTTTACGAGCAGCTTTCCTGAAGGGAAGGAACCTACTAGCCATTGCTCTATATGAAAGAACAATGAAACACAAGAGTGCTACACGAAAGAACAATGACAACAGCTTCCTAATTTGATAGGTGGACTGGACGAGATTGTGGCTTTGGTGCAAGCTCCAGAGATAGTAGATTAAGCTGTCCCACTTGGGCTCACTTTGGAGCCGAGTGGGTGATCGAACATGAGGCTGATTTTACCAAGGAACAAGTTGCTGCTATGCTAGACAATATGGGGGCTGATCTAGATATTCCCGTTCGTATCGTATTTGACACTATTAGAGAGAATGTCAAGAAAGCAAGAGCCAAGGTGAAGGTTGCAATAGGTGCGCCTGCAAGTGGGAGTGAGGAGGGTAAAGATAAAACGGTAGCTAGCAATATTGGGACAAGTAAGGGGAATGATTCAGCATCCAAGGTAGTTCACTGGTTGGTTTGTGCGGTGGCTCGTTCTGTGCCCAGGACTGCTTGTAAGCTTTTCACATTTGAGGTGCTTAATCGTTCAGGTGATGGTGATTTCTAGGGGCCTAGTGCCCAATCTTTTATTGGTGGTTCGATGTTGGTAGCTTATGATGGTTGCT